TAAAACTACTAATCAGTTAAATTAGACGATTACGTTTGTCGGCAAATTCTTGCCGACCATTGACCATTTACATAGTCGTTTGCTGCCGTTAACTGACTTTCCATTCAAACTCTGTTCACCTGATTAGCTCAATCTATCGTTACGCGTTTTGTAACGAAACAGAATGGAAAGAAAGACGGAAGGAACTGGAGGAAAGAAAATTTTTTTTTGTTGACGAAAATAAGGCATTGAAAAAGAACTGCTTGCCTCTGCGGACAATAAAGTCAAGTATCTAGTTCAGAACAAGAAAAAAAAACCTCTAATAGGTTTCCTTGAAGTGTTTTTTATTTATTCTTTCGTTATTTTTTGAAGTTTATAGCATAGTTCGACGAGTCAAAACATTGAAATTATATAACAACAGCAATGACATTTTTCTTTTTTTTGGAAGGGTAGACATTCTGAGCGCTCCACTAATTTGATGTACCTATAGTTACCGTTTTGTTTTGCTGATTTTTTTTGTTCTTTTCAAGGTCAGTAAAATAGGCACTAGGTACCAGATATACTAAAGATGACTGAAAAATCTTACTCAATACTAATTATCGTTTTTTTTTTTTGCCTTTTTTTCGACCTCGCAAACTTTTAAGCTGCAAGAACAGCATTGCTAACCTTCAAGACAGAAGAGCACCATAAAATTAAGCTGCGAAGGAAAGAAAGCAACGAAACAATAACATACATACATTTGCTAATGATATTTCAACGGTTTAACTGGAAGTGAAATAGCAATTAGAAAATGAAAATAAAATCACGAATAATACAAGAAAAAAATTTCTTTAACTGAAAGTAAGAATGAAAAAAAGTGGTAAAAGATGAAAATCAAATAACTGTTAATGAAAAAGAACCTACCAAATTGTCAGTACAGCTCTGTTACGTTTTCTTTTTTTTTTTTTTTTTTGGCTTTCTTATTTGGTTGTCAGATGACATTTAGTACACCTCATAAAGTTAGTTTCATCTAGACTTTAATGCGATACTTTACGCCAATAAAGTAGTATTCACGAAAAAAAAATGGTCACATTCAGAGCATTTATTGCTTGCAGGCATAAAACAGATCAAAACTGTTGTTTTTATGTACCTCATTAACGACCATCGATAACCGTTGCCAAACTTCGGTGTTGTTTTCTGCCAAAACAACAACAAGAACAAAAACAACAACAACAACAACAACAACAGCAGCAGAAAGAAGATCATAAACGGAGAGTAACCTAGTGGAAAGTCTAGTTTTCGCTCTCCACCCTTCTTTTCTTTTCCATCTGAATAAAACGAATGGTATGGCAACAAAAATTTTCTAAATTCCAATGACATGTTTCATTGAGAGAGCGTATGCCAACTAGGTAACCTGGTTGCTTTGGAAAGAAATTAAGCAAAGTTCAAAAATAAACGTATCTACAAATGTGCTGGAAATGGCAATGTTAACGATGATGATGATGATGATGATGATGATGATGATGGTGATGATGACGACGACGACAACGATGATGATAATAATGATATACCAATAACTAAATTTGGGGGGGAAAAAAAGGTGGATTAAGCAGTGTCAGCAACAAAGTTCAATGCTGATAAATTACAACAGATAAAACTGTTCATAAACTGTTCATAATTCACTGATTATTTGTTTAGAGGTAAAAGTCAAAAAGCAAGAAGTTAACTTGGCAATACCAACTTTTTTCGCTCCTTCTCATTTAGCAATGAATAGCACATTTCTTCTGATTACTGAAGAAAAACAACTGCAGCAGCAGCAGTAACAAACAGTGTCGGGAAGAAAATGAAACAGTGTTCAATTAAACAAACAAAAATTGTGACAACTTTTTAGTGTAAGTTCTATTTGCAGAAAAAAAAAAAATGAAAAATTTAGACGAAGAACAGTTGGAACAATTTAATCAGTTGTAACCATCAATGATGATCAAAAATCAATCAACGATACATGTCCTCCGATATACAAGTGTAAAACTGTCGTTGTTCCATTAAATCATCGTTGTTTTTTTCAACTTTTCAATTTTCTGAATTAAATCCATTATTTCTGATAGATAAACAAAAAAAAAAATTTGTTTTTTTTTT